GAAGGGTACGAATGCACTGGCAGGGGGAGAGAACTTAAAGTAAGAAATGAGAATGGTGCTCGCTTTGGCAGCACATATACTAAAACTGGAACGATACAGAGAAGATTAGCATGGCCCCTGCGCAAGGATGACAACACGCAAATTCGTGAAGCGTTCCATATTTTTTTGTGACCACCTAGAGGGGTGGGATAAGGAGGGTGGGAGGGAGAGAGACGCAAGAGGGAAGAGATATTGGGACATATTTATATGTGTAACTGATTCACTTTGTTATAAAGCAGAAACTAACACACCACTGTAAAGCAATTATACTCCAATAAAGATGTAAAAAAAAAAGAATATATCAGAACAAATTTGGCAGAAATTATCAAAAGACTGTTGTAAATAATAAAAGAATTGATTAAAATTTTTTAAAAAAGAAATGAGAATGTGAACAAAGTCATGGGGCTTTAAGATGTGGTAGAAAAGTAGATAATTTTGTCAGGAGTACATCAAGGGGAATGAGATGAGATAGCTAAAAGAAGTGGGTTATGAAAATATTACTGAAGATTCTGCACAGATTTTCTGAATAGATTTTTATTTGGAGGTAATAAGAAGCCCTTGCCTTTTTAGCAGTAGAGTGACAAACCCAGAAACAAATTTCACAACCAACACTTAGCAATGGAATAATTTGCTCTACAGAGATACATGATACAGACAGGGAGACATGGTATTGACAGTGACAATAAAGAGCTAAGAGAGAATATTTAGAAATGACAGTGACAGACTGGTATAATGGGTAGGTTTCCAGTCTTGAGAACTACATAGATAGTGTTGGCATTAACAGAAAGAAGGAAACAATCAAGAGGTTGAGGAAAAGACTGAGGATAATACAGGATGCTTTGTTTTAGGAACGTCTCAAGAGGAGATATAACCATCAGGCAAGACTCAATGTTAGAATAAAAGATGGTAATGGAAAACAGACTTGGGAGTTGATTGGATTCCAATTTACAGCTATGAATTTCCTATCAGGCTAGGAACTGGTTTGGGCTATGTTTTGATTTTGATCACTGCATCTATAATATCAGGCAGAGAGTCTTGCACTGACTGATATACTAGGAGGCTGAACACCCCTTGGTGACTGATGAATCCAGGCTATAGGCTTATTAATGTGTTCCCTCCTAGAATGGGAGCAAGCAGGTATTGAGGCTCAAAAGGAGAAAGCGGGAGGGCAGAATCGGCCACCCCATCTGCAGTCTCCTAAGTCAGCCACTGCTGTCAGGTAGGGGGCCTGCCCATCCTGCTCCTTGTTCAAAGACAGGTAGGTAACGAAAAAGTCAATTGCCACCCCCAACATAAAGAAGCACAAGCAGACCAGAGTGAGTACTAGTCCAAAGACATATCAAGTGTTTAAAAGGATTTCGTTTTTCATTGTTTTTGCTTACAATGCATGTGACCACCTAGAGGGGTGGGATAGGGAGGATGGGAGGGAGACCCAAGAGGGAGGAGATATGGGGATACATGTATATGTATAGCTGATTCACTCTGTTATACAGCAGAAACTAACACACCATTGTAGAGCAATTATACTCCAATAAAGATGGTAAAAAAAGATTCAATTGGTTCATTTTTAAAAACCATTTACAAACCCAAACGTTTGTAAACTGCATGAAACTTTTGAAAGGAAAATGACACAATTATACTCCCCAGTATCTCTGGTTTGGGCTATGTTTTGATTTTGATCACTGCATCTATAATATCAGGCAGAGAGTCTTGCACTGACTGATATACTAGGAGGCTGAACACCCCTTGGTGACTGATGAATCCAGGCTATAGGCTTATTAATGTGTTCCCTCCTAGAATGGGAGCAAGCAGGTATTGAGGCTCAAAAGGAGAAAGCGTTAAGTAGGATAAATAGTAAAATAGTAAATAGTAAAATAGAAAAGTAAGAAATATAATAATAATTATCTGCATTTTTAAATAATACAAGATGAAATGATGATGCTATTCAGTATTAAGCCCCTTCTATTATATATTCTAGAATGTAAGGGTAAAACTGATATTTACTTTTCAAATTTAAGTCAGTTAAATTGATAAACTTCAATCCTATCCATACATTCTGCAGCATACAGAGGAAAGATAATTCAGTATAAGAATGCTAAATAAATTTGTTATAAACAATAATAAAACACTCCTGAATGCATTTCTACTAACAACTAAAACATACAATACCATGGGATGAGAACAAAAATAACTAGAACATAAAAAGAATACAGAATGTTCTAGTCGAACAGTCACTCTAGGGAATTCCCCATTTTGGATTCATCATATCATATAATTACATTTATATCAGTTTAATCACTTTTTCACAAGGGAAAAACTTTTAAGAAGCTCTAGAATCTGTATAATGAAATCCTCAACTAAGCTATCAGCAATCTGTAGAATGGTCTTGGGAAATGTGGTATGAGCCAGAGACTGAAGCAAGAAGAATTTTATGCTCTGGTCATGTTCGTTCCAGTCACTGCAATAATCTCACTTTCCTCCTCCATTTATGATAATCTGGGCAATTACAATCTGCTCTAGTTCCACTCCAGCCCATGAAGCTCTCTCCCTCTGTGAATTCCTACCAAATGTATTTACCAACTACTTACACGATTATATACAGCATCCAATTTTTTGCTTCATACGTTCCTCTTCGTAATTTTGGAGAAATGTAGATTCAACAGTGATTTTACATGCGTCAGCCCTAATCCGTCAGCTATATTTTAAGACTTCTAGAAAATAATGGCGAAGTACTTCTTCAGTATACCCTCAAAGAGCACAGACCATTGTTCAAAGCCTGAAGAACTAGGGCTGGATGGAGCTGTCATCCTACAGACACTTTGTTGGACAACTAGAAATATGCTTTGTTCTAAATAGAATTCATTTTCTCTGTAACAACCATCAGAGTATATTATATTTAATTCAGAAACACAGAAGGCTGCCATTTATCACCATTTTTATTAATGTTCTGAAAGTTCTGGGCAATGTTTTAAGTGATGCATCAAAGGAATAATAGGTTACTAGAAACAAATACTGTATGATATCACTTTATGTGGAATCTTAAAAAGCCAAACTCATTAAAACAGAGTAGAATGGTGGTTACCAGGGGCTGGAAAGGGGGTGGGGTGGAGGGGAATGGGGAGAGGTTGTTTAAGGGTTGTTCCAACCGCTAGGTAAGTAAGTTCTGGAGATCTAATGCACAGCACAGTGATTACAGACAATACTGTTATTATAAACTTCAAAGTTGATAAGAGACTAGATCTTTGTTCCCACCACAAAAAAGAAGTGATAATTATGACACGATAGATAGCTAATGCTATGGTGGTAACCAACCTGCAATACCTAAATGTAATCAAATCAACAAATTAAACATACACAGTGTTATATGGCAATTATATCTCAATAAAAACAGATTTTAAAAATAAATTACAAGAAAGGCACAATAAAAAATGAATATATAAAACCCAATGGCATTCCAAAGAGAATGAAAACAAAAATGTAAAAAAAAAAAATCATATATATTATGGCAACAAAAATATAAAATACTAAGAAACAAAATTGGAAGTATGTTTATATAAAGAAATTACAAAACTTTCAGAGAACATAAGATGACTTAAATAAAGAAGATTTTAAAATCTTAAGGCTGTCATTTTTGTACAAGTACCTAAAGTTAAATTTAACAAAATTTAGTTCTGAAAGCCCACAAAATCATTCAAATATTAATCTCTATAAATCAAAGAATATTATCATTATTAAAAGAATAATATAAGAGGATCCTCTAAACTGGGTGGGATTATAATATATAGCAACAGTAATCAAACAATGTGGTATTGGAACAAAAATAAACAGAATCAAAACCACAGAAATAGACCAGGTAATATAATTCATATTTGAAAATTTAAATATTACTATAACTATGTAAATATTAACTAACATTTATTTAGTGCTTACTATGTCCCCAAAACCCTTTACAGTAGGGTTCCTCTGTACACAGTGTGCACTGTTGACACTTTGGGCCAACAACTCCTTGTCATGGGGGCTGTCCTGTGCATTGTACTATGCTCAGCAGCAGTCCTGATCTCTACCCACTAGAAGCCAGTAGCACCTCCCCCTCCCCCGAGGTGTGACAACCAAAAATGTCTATAGACATAGTCTAACGTCCCATGGAAGACAAAACTGCCCTGGGTTACGAACTACTGTTCTCACATGGTTGCAACCGATATCTGCTTACACTTACTTGTTATGGTCTGGTGTTTTTAAGTTGATTAACATCTACCACGTTGCAGAAAACACATTCTGCAAAAATTACACACTTGAAAATAATAGTGTCTACGGAAAAACAGGACAAAAATTTTAAAACCTAAGAACCAAAGCACTTTAAAAAAAGAAAAAAGTAACAATCATAACAAAAATACCAACACAGTTAAATCTCCACTGACATTTGCACCAAGCACAAAGGTCAGTCAATCCTTTATCTTCTTAAACCCTGGACTTATGCTTCCTCCACGGAGATGTAGGTCAT